TTTGCTGTCATCGACGGCAACCTCGGACGTAATGCCTTTACTTATATTATGCGCAAAATAAATGCGCACACCCACCGGGAGAGGAATATTCAATGAAAATGACGGAACTATCAATACGCTCACCGATTACAGAAGCCATTAAGAATCTTTTAGGGACGGTATCGTCATTTTTCACAATAAATTCTGATGAAAACTGCGCAACGTTCTAAAAAAAATTACTTGACAGGATTGTAAAATTTTCTTTAAACACATTCCGACCCAGAATGACAGGAAATATAAATGATTTTTATTGAATATGTTGGGGTTTCCATTCCATAAGTACAAAAATTAATGTTGGATTGCAGAGTGCTTTCGCTGTTGTTGTTGCTACTTGAGAGAACATTTTTCTGACTTTGAATTCTGAAAAGTGTGTGGACAAACGTTTAGATGTTTGATTTTCAATCTAAGCATCTGTAAAATGATGGCACCTTGGGTCTATATCCAAAGTGTCTACGATCTTCGTTTCTTTTGTTAATCCAGTTTCGAAGCTCGAAGTGTGTGAATGTGTCTTCTTAGGAATAATCTCTAATAAGGGAAACTTTCAACTAAACTAAAATGATTTTCATTTAACATATTACCCATTCCCAATAGAATATATATATCTCCACGTAATATATCACATACCCGCTATCGCCATAAAATATATCGATAATATCTGTGTGCCAATTCTATATATTTTTCCAATTTGTGAAGAATATATAAGAAGTTCATACAAAACATGTATTTATTATATTGCTGAAACTGAAAATTGTTTAGTTTTTTTTTGATACGCGACTAACAAACATCCTAGAATTTTTAATCCCCTTTGTTGGAAGAATTTAATTAATAGAGAGATGATTCGTAAAGGGAAAAAAGTGCTACCGAGGGAGAGGAAGGGGTACAAAGCTAGGAAAAATGCCAACGTCAACATTGACAAGTTTGTTGGCTAATGCACGAATTTCTCTCGTCACGTCATTATACATACGTAGAGAACTTTTTTACAGCTATTGGTATAACATTTTGTAATCATATAGCGTTGTGGCAATTCGTCGAATCAAAAGTTATAATTTCTCGTAAGCTTTGGGTAATTTTCACGGCAATTTTTGGTAAAATATTCTCAATTGGCGTTATGCTACACCTAATCAGCATCTCATTGTAACTACTTTTCTTAAAAATGTTCATCTCATGGTATTTTCCAAGTTAATTAATCAACATATACCTCACCCCAATGGAAAAATATATAGATAATATACACGACACATATATATTTGATATGTTCTTCTTATGTGAATATATCACATAATGGCTTCTGAATTATTTAATTTTCTCATAATAACTAATCACTTTTTGAAGAAAGATCAAGCAGGTCAGATTTTAGCGAAATACTTTAGTGAATAATTTTAAAAGCCAAATGAAAGAACATAGATTTCGAACAAGCAGGTACTGAGAAGAAACCACGAATCAATAACTGAGAATCGAGAACAGTCGGAAGCCTACCATTAATATATTGATGGCAAAAAACGATGCACCTCGTAAAGAAAAAGTCCGCAGGCGCATGCCTGCAGCCGTCTGTTTATTTTTCTTTTCCTTTTATTTTTACCAATTATATTGATAGTGAGCTTCCGAATGAAACCGTAGCAATTCCCTCTCCCTCTGACATATATACAGCTCCAACCACATTGTATACTGTGGTTACCAGAAAATATTTGACCTTTTCATGCAGCGGATTTATACCAAAGGTTAAATATCCGATATATCAGTCTTCAATAACAATCATGTAGTTATAATCACAGCCACTTTCTACGGACTAACTTCATTGTTTCTGATGTTATTTTGCGAATAATAACATAACATATATTTATAAATAAAAAAAAACCTTTCCTAAACAAGTAGATAATATCTATTTTCTTTCGAAATAATAATTGTTCTTCATAAATTAACAATTGATTTCCAAATAGACCTAGATTGGGTACCTTTTAAATTATACTATTGATTCATTCAAGATTTATCCGAAATGCACGTGAAACCACAGGGAAAAAAACTTTTTTTTCCAAATATATTTACTGTCTTCCAATAAATCTATATAAATCCTTTCATAAAACTAGCTAATGACAAAAAAATTTTCACGGAAAAAAAACTTGAATCATGAATATATTAATATACTTGCACAGCTTCCCGGAATAAGGAAAGCATTGTAATCATGTGATGTAATTATTTCAATATACCTCACCGAATTGTTTCTATTACCACCATGACATTTTATAAAATACTCGGACAATGTTAAAGCAGACGTCTGGGTTATTGGGAATATCTTTCCACAAATTTTTTCTCCCTCAGCTTTAAAATAAATACTCTATCTCGTGCAATTCATTATAAAGTTCACGTTTATTACTTATAACTGCGACGCCCAGATGACAGACAAGGTAAGCTATAATTATATGTATTATAGTAATTCAGCTACCCAATAAGAAATTGAATACTAGACGAAACGAAAAATCGCCGAGCATTATAGCATGTGGAATTATTATTTGTAAACTTCCAGAAATCAGATGGAAACAATCTAATAAATGTAGTGTCATTTGAAAGTTAAATCTCTTGGTATTC